CTACACACACACCCCCTTTTACCTCCCCCTTCCCCACACACACACAGCCAGCTACTGTGTGCATTAATTTTATCCAGAATTGTGCAGCTGTAACTGATGCCAATTGCGCTTTTGTATCTGTGGCCGCTCGAGACGACGCAGAGGCAGACATCGGCACTTGTGCAATTGAGAAAAGTCCAGACACGCTGCGTTCCATACAGATGCTCCACCCTCCCCCTTCGGCACGTGGGGGATGAGCAGGAGTTGCATGTGTTGTGTGTTGTCGCCACATGACGCATGGAATTTTTAGAATAACTCAGTTTTACAATGGAAATTTATGGGCATTGCACGTCAAATATTTTGTTGTGCTTCTTAAGTATACACCTTTGGCTCTGGTATGCATTGCATGACATGCACTAATGGCCTTTTTTATAGTTATTGTTGTTGCTGCTGCTGCTGTTAGCCAAGTCAGTAAAACAAAAAGTAGTGCAATAGTCGAAGTAATAGTATCAAGTGAAACACTTGTTCTAACAACAACTGGACACTATTTATGTGCATAGCACAGGTCTCGAGTTATTGCTAAAAGCCAAGCTAAGAATTCAATAATACGATATGCTGTGGCAACATCTAATGCACAAACGCACAAAGAAATTTGCTTCAATTACATTCCCAAGAAATGGGAAAACATATTTTGTATAATATGTATGCATTAAACTGAACTCTAATCTAGTATGGAGAATGAATATAAGCTAAGTTAATTGTAGAAGAAAAAAAAGAAAACCTTTTTAAGTTTCTTGAAGTTTTCTTTTCTCTTTACAAAATAATCTTTAAATTAAATGATTTCCATAAGACAATTTCAAGATGTAAATTTGATATTCTTGTCCCAACAAATAGTTTCCTTAAGTACAAGCTTTATATACTTATATCCGATACTAAAATCGGGTGAGTGCCTTCTCAGAGAAATGCATATTAAATTATTATATAAGCTAAATGTTTAAACTAAAAGCTTTTAAATGTTATTGTTGGCGGCCTTTTGAATGCGTTATGCTTTTTCATAATCAGTTCGAGCCAATCATGTATCTTATAAAATTCTGCTTCTAATTGCATTTGTTTTTAATTTATATTCCACATGGTATGCATATATACATATCAGATTTTGTATATATATATAAACCGCTCCACCTTCAGCAAAAATAAAGCATTTTCTGCTTGAATTAAGAATATCTCTCTGGTCTGTTTGAGTTTGGAATCGCTAAATTCCTAAAAATGCGAATTTAATTTATTGTTATTCATGCTGCGTAGCAGAATTCTAGACTGGAGAACGAAACACGTTGCTTAAAGATGGTTTCCGCTTGTAAATTTCCTGGCATTTGGAAACTAATCTCAAAATCTAGCCTTTTCATACCTGTGCAAAACTACTATGAAGTGAAATACCTGTAAAGTCCTCATACACTTGACATAGTGCAGCCTGTTGAACTCCCTCCTGAGCTGCTGCGTATGCGAAGTAGGACCAGGCATGACGACGAACCGTGACCAAATTGTTCTTGATGTTGCAGCCCTTGCCGCAGGTGAGCTGCGAAGTCGCTGCGAGTGGCAAGTGCAACATGACGAGGAAGCGACGTTTAAGGATCAAACTCTGAATAGCAACTAAACACGAGAACGCAGCCAGCTAGGCGGAAGCCACAGGTGTGCGCCCCCGTCGAACGGACACAAATGCAAATGCAAATGTAAATACAAATGCAAGTTAAGGGCAGAGTGCGAAACGACCCTCACAGGTGGTGCTTGGGCCTGGCCGAGGGAGATGACGGACGGCAAGAGTTTGCTCTTTGGGAATTTCCTTCTGCCATTGCCTGCGCTGGTCTTCCTCTTCTTCGTTTTCTTGTGCCTCGTTTTGGTTGGTGCGTTGCCAAAAACATGATGAAAAACTAATTGAGTGGCATTTGTATAATGAAAATACTGGGGCTCTACACACGCACACGTTTGGCATTTTGCTAGAGATTTTGTCAAATAGACTCATCAAAGAGGAATCTTGTAATAAAATTACGTTGTCAGCTGGCAGAGCCTTGACGTAGTCCGCTGCGGCGACGCAGACGCAGAGACCTTCACATGCATGCACACACGCTCGCATATGAGCGTGTGTGTGTGTGTGTGTGTAAAAAATGCCATTAACATTGAGCCGACAGCCGAAAACATTGGCATGTGCGGGCTCTGTTAAGCATATACCAGGAAGGAGGGAAGAAGGACAGAAGGGAAAGCAGCCTGCAAACGTGTGTAGTAGGTAAATCACTAGGCTCTAGTAACAATAACAAAAAGAAGAAGCAGCGATCACAGTGAGAGAGAGAGAGAGAGAGAGAACGAGAGAGGGTGAGAGTACGCAATTTGTTTCCTGCTCTAACCTTAAGAGCTCGGCACGGGCAGGCAGGAACTTTGCCGCGGCGGCGTCTGCGCTTTTGGTCGTTATTGTTGTTGCTAGCTCGGTACAGTGCCGGGTTGTTGCGAGCGCTTCGGGGCGAGGGGCGCAATATATTTAGCGCACATTTCTTTTTGATGCGCGAGCCACTGCCATTCACAATACATAAATATGTTTCACACCGAAACAAATTTCAAAAGTAGCTTAAAATTCCCTGACGCGTTTTAACTTTAACAACAAGCAAGTACTAGCAGATATTTATTTGCTGGCAGTGACATATTTTATGTGTGCTTAACGCCTGCGACATTGAAAAATTCAAAAAAGAGAAAATAGATCTATGTATATTTATACAAAAGTAAAATAAAAGACAAACGGCGGATGCGAGGCAAAACAGCTGCTGTTTACCCACCCTTCGCGTCGTCCACTCACCTGTTTTTGATTGCTCCTCGATGGTCTCCATTTCGTTTGAATTGCATTAAATTTTGGACAGACAGACACACACAGGCACACACACACAGACTAATGCACGCACAAAACAGACTTCTGCAGCTTTCGTGTTTAGTTTTCTTTGTTTTTTCAATGACGGTTTGTTTGCTATGTTTTACTCATTGCTTGAATAATGCCCAATGCCATAGCATCTTTGTTTTTGCACAATTAAATTGAACAACGCTTTGGTCAATTAAAAAGCGGCGCGCAAAAGAACACAGACAAGCGCCCACAGTCACAATTTACACACACACACTAACGTACGTTAACAAGCGCTCGAACGCATTATACGAATTCCATTGAATGCAGCAGGCGGCAGGCGGCGTCACTTTTATTTAACACTTTTTGCAATTCTGTTTATGATTTACTTTGAATACACGCGTTTAATTGCACGAGTGTGTCTTGTAATTGGTATACAAATAATTACACAGCGCCTTGTACGTGTTTAGTTTGCTTTCTTTGCAGCGCGTCGGAATTAAAAATCAAAATCAACGGTCAAACACGTCCGGTCGCACGGCTGTTCGTCTCGCTTTATTTTACATAAATGTTAATGCTGCGTATTCTTCTACTCGATAAGGCACTGTTACCGTACTAAAATAACAGAATATGTTAATGTTATTCATGTTCTACTCAAACGGGCACTGTAAATGCACGGAATGTTCATTAAAATCGATAACGATAGGCGAACTTTGTTTTTATTTGTTGACAACACTTTCATTCGATTACTGCATCAGTGCTGCCACACGCAAAAAAAAAAACGAAAATAACAGCGGACAACACTTGTTGCTGTGACGTCACACACACAAGCGCAGTTACGTCAATGTAGCAATATGCCCAGCAATCTGTCAAACAACCCACCACCAGCGCAGCTACAACAACAATAGCTCACTGACATTTCGTCAATAGGTCCATACATAATTTTGTCATTTTTTCACTTGCTCGTCAAGAAAACGAGAACTTTCGATTTTTACCGCCCAATTATAGGGCATTTTTGAAAGTGGTTTCGAAAAATGCTCCACCAACCGCCGCCGCCGACGCACAGCATCAAAATAATGTCGGGGGCCGAGGAAAATCGCCACTACTTGCGTGCCTTTATACAAACATATCGCGATATGCCCGTCCTCTGGGACACTTCTCTGCGGGACTACACGAATCGAGAGAAACGCGCCGAGGCCTATCAGCGCCTGGTGCCCATCTATCATTACCTGAAGCGGGACGCGACCGTCGAGGACGTCAAGAAGAAGATCAACACACTGCGCACTAACTACCGCAAGGAGCTGAAGGTTGTGGAGAGCGCCATGCGCACCGGCAGCCTCCATACGCCGCGTTGCTGGACATTTCAGGAGCTCGACTTTTTACGCAATACGGAAAAGTTTCTGGCCGTCAATCCGACATTCAAGAACGAGCCGTCTTTCTCGTTTAACGAGAACTCCAGCTCGACGGCGGCCTTCATGGAACAGCATGCTAACAGCAGCAGCGCGTCCGTCTTACATTATCCATATCGAGGTGGGGCTGGACAGACGCCGAACATCACGGAAATGTTTCACAAATCGTTTGGGCATGTGCAAAAGGTGGATCCACTGCCACCGCCGCCGCCGCCGCCAGCCTCGGGCCTGATGCACCAGCCGCCCCACTCACAGGGCGACTACACGCCCGCAAAGAGGGCGCGACAGACGCCGCCCTGCAGCAGCAGCTCGAACAACGCTTCGACTACGACGACGACAGTCAGCACGCATAACACGGACGAGCTGCTGAACATTGCCTGCGAATATCTGGCTGGTACCTATCCGGAGGAGGAGTCAATTGCGCGCACCTGGACGCATAAGCTGAAGCGTTTGCCGCGCGAGCAGCGTCTGCTCGCCGAGCGATTCATCAACGAGATACTCTTTGAGGCGGAGTCCAATAACTTGCATCGCGGTTCCGTGCAGATCAACAACAGCTTTGAGCCCTATGTCCGCTTCGAGGAGCCGGCGGCCTGTCACGAGGAGCAGGACAAGTCGCAGAGCCCCAGCGTGCACACCTCCTCCGAGTCGACACCAAAGCCCAGCGCCGGCGCCGCCACTCCGCTCAACGAGCCGACGAATCCGGGCATTAGAGAGTTCTAAGATTAGGAATATGTTAGCAATAGGTGTTATTCAGTTATTTATTGGCAGAAGACGCAGACAACACATGGCACTGACAAAAAGCTAGACAAATAATCTTTGTAAATAGTTACATGAACCTGATTTGGTTTTCTGGGATGCGGCATGGCTCAATCCACGCGCTGATAATCCACAATATTGCGTGTTAGCCATACATAGGGCGAGGCGCCGGCCAGAAATAGACAGGCGCCGATCACAGGACGATGCAGGATCCAGGCCACGGCAGCAATGGTCAGCGCCAGCGAGAAGGCGATGAGGAAATTGCCCGTCACCGGATAATGCGAATCCGGCGCCAAAGCAATCAGCAGCGGCACCCGAAGCACTGCAAGCACGGAATAACATTATTATACATAGTTGCCTAGATATAGTCTAGTAGTATATAGCTTGTATGTTCTGGACTGTATATATATAAAAGTTCGATAAGGGATTTGCTGCGTTTTTGGCACATCTCTTCCAGAAAACTCTTCCCGGCCGGGTACTTACATATGACACGCAGCAGCTTTGTATTGCAGTTGACGCCAAAGAAGATCAGCAGCCAGCCGATAAAGCGCCACCACCAAGTGTGCAGCACCTGGGCGCGATACTCCAGGCGGAACACTTCCAGGGCACTGATCTCGCCCGGATAGACGAGCAGCACGGGCACGCCGCGTGTTGTGACATATGGCTCCAGCTTGTTGCCCTGGAGCCTGCCCACCACGCTGTACATTTCACCCTCCATGCCCGCATAGCTGAAGAGTATGCGCAGATCGCCAACTTCGGGATTGAACACATCTTCGGTGTGATAGTAAAGGCCCAGATGCAGCTTGATACCGCTGTCGTCGGGCCTGATGTCCGAGGTTAACTCGTGGTAGTTGTTGAACTTGTTCTTCACCTGGGCGCCCAGCTCGTATTTGCCTATGTAAACGGCATCGGCCACCTGCACGGCACTCTCTATGGGAAAGCGCTGCGGATTCGTGTGTCCATGACGATTGTAAAAGTTGCGCGAGTCCACGATTTTGTCGCGCCACTCGCGCGTATAGTAATAGGTGCGTGAATCGGCCTCGGTGCCGACGCTCTCGCCAAAGTTATGCTCGACCGACTCTTCCACCCATTGGTACATTTGGACGCGCCGCCTGAGCTTGACCGCCATCAGCTGTATGTTGTAGTCCGGTTCGGTGAGCGGCTCGCCACAGATGATGGGCCCCGATAGATGCACAATGCGATTATCAAAGCTCAGGTCCTGTTCCTCCTCGGTGAACTGCATGGAGTAGATGTCGGCGTATGCCTCGTCCAGGGCCAGCATTGTGTGCACCGCGCGTCCCTCGTTCCAGTAGAGTACACTGGAGCCGGCTACGAACAGGCCCAGGCCAAAGGTCGCGATCAGCCAGTGGGCACGAAATGTTTCGCTTAATGTGGCCATGTGCAATGTTTACCGTTCGGTCAGCATTTAAAAATATAAATAAACAGCAACAAATGCTGTGCCGCCGACAATTCCCCTCAATACAAACTGTGCAAGTCCGAGGCCGCCAATTTGCCAAAGCAACGCCGTCAAAGCAACAGCTGTCAATATCAGCTGTTCGAAATTCGAAATTCAAGCATTCGAACATCCAACCAAATATTACAAATTTAACTAAGAATGTGTAGCAATAGTTTAACTGATTATCAATTCACAAAAGCATTTAAACATGGAAAATTCTGTTCGGTCTATAAGGCAAATTGTACTGTCAACGATCGTGTTGTAGTTATTAAGAAGTTTTCGCTGGAACAGGAAGATGATGCCGAATTAAAGCGACTCTTTGCCGAGATCCAATGTTGTCGCCAATTCAAGCATCCAAATATCAATAAGATACTCCATAGTTTTATTGTGGACAGCGATGTATATGTCCTGTATCCGTATATGTGCTTTGGAACGTGCCAAATTTTACTCGAAAGCATTTTTGCGAATGGACTGCCAGAGCCTCTGATAGCATTAATTTTCAAGGATGTCCTCTCCGCCCTTATGTACATACACACAAATGACTTTGTCCATGGATCCGTCAGAGCCCATCATATATTACTAGACAGCCAGAAAGCAGTATTATCGAATTTCCATGAGAGTCGCAGCTTCATAAAACACGGCAAGAAGAAACCGGTTCTCCATGGCATCTCCCACGAGAAGAATTTAAACTGGGCTGCCCCGGAAGTCCTAGATCAGAATGTCCATGGGTTTACCGAGAAGTGTGACATCTACTCCGTGGGCATAACGGCCTGCGAAATGGCCAACGGCATTCAACCGTATTCGGAAACCCAGCCCACACTCATGTACACGGAGAAAATACGCGGAAATGTGCCATCCCTGCTAGATAGATCGACGTACACCATGCTCCTGGATGACCACGGTAAAATGCCATTTGAGAATGCAACGACAAGAAGAACCTATGAGATTTTCAGTCAACGTGTGCTCACCGACGATTTTCATCAGTTCGTGGAAATTTGCCTGAATCGAAATGCGGAGAATCGTTGGAGCGCCAAGAAGCTAATGACGCACGCATTCTTCAAGCAATGCCGACACGTCTCCATCTCGGATCACATCAAGAAATGTCGCAGCGAATCGCAAAACAATTCCTTAATAGACGACGAAAGCATCGGGCCACTGGATGATCATGCACAGGAATGCCGCGAAGATGTTCAATGGAATTTTTAAGAAACTTAATTCTGGCTTATAAGTTAAATAAAACAAAACCAAGATTTTAGACAAAAAGACAAGTTTGAAAAACTTGATTTTAACTTTAGTTGCTTTTTACACGCCTTTCTGATTTTGATTGTTGACCTATTGGTTAAATGTATATAACTATAGACTTTTAGAATAATCGCTCGTAAAAAATTGTAAATTGTCAGCTATGCGATTCAATTGAAATCCATAATTTATTTCACATAATTTACTATAATATAAATGTGGCTTTATTTACAGTACATATTCTTGTTTGTTTGTTATAATTATCCATTAATAAGTTGCTCGATTCAAGCCAAAGCTAATGCGTAAGTTCGCCTTGTTATTCGCCATAATTTGCGTTTAAATCTTGTAAAATTGTATATCCCGTAAATAACTATTTGGAATGCGCTTGATAAACATACAAATTATATATCACTTGTTGCCTCTAGAAACAAATCGAAATGAGGTGGAAAGCAAGTTAAAATGTTGGTCTTGTTGTTTTTTTTATTACGTATTATTAAACAAAATTAATAACAATTAGGCGTAATCTGTTCAACTAAAATTAAAATTATTTAACAAATAACTAATCAGAAATTGCTTGGTTTTGTATGGTGTTTCGATTTTAAACTTAAAATAAAAATAAAATTCAACTAAATATTTGGACAAAAATCACGCACAAATTGCTTTAAAGTTTAAACGGTGCGCTCTGTAGTACGCTTAAGGTTTTTTCTTTTTTTAAATATATCAAATATAAAACATAACTGTCTATAGAGCGCATAAAATGTACAAATTTAAATTTAAAATATATATATATATCATAGTAAGATTTAGCGGGCTATCACTGATAAATAACATTAGTTTTTTTCTTTTAATTTCTATATATATGTTTATATATATATTATGTGAAGCATATTATTTTTGTATTGTTTAAACAAAATCTGTTAGTACCCGGTTTTATACCTCGCTTAAATTTTCTTTTCTTGGCAATGCTAGGGCGCATTGTACTGTAAATAAGTTGGGGATTTAAAAACTAAATTAAGGTAGTTGTTTTTCTAGCCTGCAAAACTTGTAACTGCTTAGGTCGGATTTCCATATATGTATATGCGTATATACATACCATATACATATGCATAACTTTGTTTTTATAAATATATATAGATTACTTAAAAATTAAAATAGTTTTAACGTTGACTAACATGCCACACAATCAAATAACTCTTATCGCCTCGATTTTCAATCGTTTGATTTGGTTCCAGTTGAATACTGTTCTCCATATCATTGTCATCTGTAAAAGTTGAAGGAAATTGAATTAGTATATCAAGTTAGGCAAGAGTTGGATTATAATATACACATAGTTAGTGCTGCAGCGACAAAACTACAAAGTATCGCAAATTGCTGTTCTTGATAATTATATTATACAAAAGCATTTAAGAGTATTATAATATTATGTTTGCAGCGCCTCAATGTTTTTGTTTATTTATATTTTGTTTTAATAAAAGTTGAATAGAATTTAGTTTTGATTAGTAATAGATTTTCTTTTTAATTAGTGAGAGTGCGCGTTTTGTTTGGTAGTTTGTAAAATAGCCATCAGTTTATACAGTTTTAAAATATATTAAGCAAAACTAAATAAAATACAATTAGCTACATATTAAAAAAAAATTAACTGTTAAGGCAGCTACAACCAAAAAACTAAAAAGTTAAAAACCGAATTTGAAAAGAGAGTTAAATTATTTGTTTAAACTTATATATACAACAGCGTAGCTATTTTTTATACAATTGCTTCCTTTATAAGATACTCGAGAAAGACACATCACAAGAACACCAATGAGATCAGGTTTGAACAAATTACAATTTCCACTTGTGACCTGGGTGGATTTTTTTTTTGGAACTGTGTGACAAAGTGCAGAAACAGGTGGACGGGGAAAACGTGATAATCAACAGAAAGAAATATAAAAAAACATTTAACATAAATTTGCATAAACCTTAGGGGGTCGGTTTTTCGATCAGGTCACACACACACATGGGCTCAGATAAATGCTGCATTCCAAATTTGAGCTTGGGCCTACGGGCGGGCGGCGCGACTACAAATTGAAGGTACTGAACGGCCGGCAGAGTTAAACGAAAAGAAAATGCGATTAAATCAACGAAAAAGAATACGCAACAATACAACAAAAAACTAAGCAAAAATAACTCAAAAATATGTAAAAAACAGCGCAAATCAAAATACATAAACAAATGTAAACCGAAGATCAAAATCAAAAGCAAGGCTTACGTATCGACTTTCCAAACTATCAAATGCGCTGCATTATCACTAGCATCGTATTTTTCATGTCCTGCAGAGGAATATGGAACGATTATACTATATATTGCATATATATATAGACAGATAAGCAGAAAGAGAGCGCGCGCTCGCTGATTTTTGGGCTGCCAATTGGTTAACTAGAGCTTGGACGGCCGCTGGCGCCACTTACTTATGCGAAAATCAATATAACCCTCGCCGCCGCACATGACCAACATATCGGGTCGCTTGTTGCTGAAGGTGAGCGTGCCATTCGGCTGCTGGAGCATGGGCACGGATACAAAGAACTTGACTGCATCGCGATGGCCATGGAAGGACAGTTGAGCATTGGCCATGCAGCACAATGGCATGTGGCCATGTGGATCAGCTGGATAGGCCAAAAGAAACGAGTATTAATTAATGTGACAACTTAGTTTAGTCGCAATCGCTGCTCACATGACTTTTGCTGCATCTCGGCCAGGGGCACAGAAATGATGACGCCATTGCTGGTGCCGATCCAGAGGCGATTGCAGGAGACCATCAGCGCTGTGATGCGCACAAAACTAAAGCCCAGCTTGCCGGTGCCCAGCATCTTGGAAACGTACGGCTCAATGTCCACATCCTGTTTGTGCTCAAATGTATGCGTATTGTACAGACGCAGCGTGGAATCCAGGCTATGGAAGCAGAGATTGTATTATTTGCGCTTGACTGGAATTGAGCTAGTTGTGTTTACCGTATGGATACCCAAACACCGGCACCTGTCGCTGCCATTTGGCGCACTTGGCTCTCCTTGCGCGGATGCGCGTCCAGCGAGTGTACAATGTTTAGCGATATTGGATCAACAATAAAGATCTTGTTGCGATGCGCGGCCCAAATGCGCTCGCCGGCCACACAGAGGCAACGTATCGAATGATTGCGATCACCGACCGTAACCAGGTGATAACTATTCAGATCCCATTGGCCGTCTGTTTGGCGGCGAAACACGGCTAACTGAGCATTGGCCAGCGCAACAACAACACGCGCCTCCACATGGACAATCGCCAACACCGCATCGGGCAGGAGCACCTTGTGCAGACACTCATGCCAGCGCCCCACACTGCTGTGCACATACAGCCAACCGTCCTGGGCACCTAGCCACATTGTGGGTCCCACTGAGCTCATGGCCGGCTCTTCGCGCTCCTTGGTGCCCAGTATGGGATTCAGTGATTTGATGCTGAACTGGACATTGTTGCTGCTGTTGTTGTTGTTGACGTGATTGTGGCTGTTGTTGTCCGAGCTGCTGGGCAGTCGCTGCGGTGCACCCGGCAGCGCCTGACGGATCTTAATAGCTTCTACATTGGCCAGCGGTTCGGTTGCATCCACGGCGGGCAGTTGCTCATTGGATTTCTCAGTAGCCTCTTTGGCCACTGCCACGCCCACTACTGTTATTGGCGCCGGCACCTCCTCCTCCAGGGAGTTTTGCTTGCTATTGCTGTTCTGATCCGATTTGGGTTTAACGCGCACAAACTCCACTTTGCCGAGCAGCTCAGTGCCCTCGCCTGGTCGTTGCAGCATCTCGCCCGCCTTGACCACCTCCGATTGCTCCAACAGCGCATAGTCGCTCTCCATGGCGCCCTGCACGGAGGCAATGCACAGCAGATGCGATGCGCATATCGGAAAAGCATCCAGCACCGTGGCCGACTGATTTGCATCCACCACACTGACCGTACTAGCGGCATGTGTGCTGGTGCAGATCCATACAAACGAACTGAGCTGCGTCTCGGGCTCAAGAGTCTCTAGGCTGGCACGTGCCATTTGACGATCCAGCGCCTCGGCGCTGTGTTCCGCCGTCGGGCTAGTTATCTCTGCAATTTTGAGCGTTGAACGAGGCGCATAGGGTGAATCGGGGGGTATCAGCGATTGACCATCCTTTGTGAAGCCACCCTGCAGATTGACACCTGCCGCACAAAATACTTTCATGTGCGGCGATGCCTCCGCCAGGGGATTACAATAGACGGGCACGGGCACGCCACCTGAGTGGCGACTTGGATTGGCATCCTGATTCGTCTTGTTTATGGGCAAGCTCCAGCCGTAGGCATGCAGTCGTCCGTCCTCCTTTTGCACATGGGCGCGCAGCTGGCGATATTGTTCACGCCGCCTGGCATTGATGCGCTCTGAGCTGCCCTCTTCCGAATAATCCTTGGCCATGATAAGTGCATTCGCAAGCCCGGCGCTGGCCGGATGCGGCGGTGGCTGTGAACCGGCTATGGCAAGGCGATTGTCGCTTCCTCCACGGCTAGGTGATCCATGACTGTGGGCAGGGCTTCCTCCGCCTGTGTGACGAAACATCGGCCCCCCTCCAAGTCCGTCGGCGCCGCGCTCCGACGAACGATTGGAGTGGCTGTTCGGTGAGTAGAAAACATTCAATAGGATACCCTGGCCAGTGTGTACTCTACACTCTACGTGGAATACTCACGTAAAAAGATTACTAAAGTATTGCCAAATGCCTTGCTTCGACTTCTTGTCCAAGTTGTCCACAGTGCGCGAGGCGCGCAATATTTCCGTTAGGCGCACCGCCTCCTGCAGTTCCATAAGCCGCTCCTTGTACTGATTGCGCTCCATTAGCACCATGGCCATTTCCACGCGTGTAAAGCGTTTGCGCTGCGCCAGCGGCACATCATTCTCCTCCTGCTCGGTGCCTGCCACAGCGAATGAAGACATTAATTGGTTGTGCTTATCTTGAGGTAGCAATCTATAGCAACTTACTTTGCTGTTTCACCTGCTCCTTGGTCTTCTTGAGTTCATCCTCCAGCTCGCCGATGCGCTGCCTGAGCTTGGTACGCGACTGTTGCATGGCATTCAGCTCTTCGCGCACAATTTCTACCTCACCCGTCAGCTCATCTACTTTGACAATTAAATCGTCCTTGACAATGTTGAGTGCATTTCTGTGGCGATTGATTGATTGACATAAGTGGGTCGATTCTCGTTGTTGTCTACTGAAATTAGTCACACTTACTTGGTCGCTAGCAGCTCATTATTCTCCATTATAAGATTCTCCACCTCTTTGCCCATGCCTGAAAAATTATTTATAATGCTATTAGTAAAGCAAAAGGTTCAAATTGATATGAAAGACATTATTAAATGACTTTTGGGGTGTGGAACGCATGAGAAAGTTATGTGGAACGTAAGAAAATGGAACAAATTACGTAATATATGAATCGAATTGTTGTTTGGATGTGGAATATAAGTGAATTTTGTATATCAGATCAAAAGACATGCATGATATTGGTGAAAAAACGATAAACGTAAACTGGGATAAGCAGAATTGATGTAATTCGAAATCAAAGTCAAAACCCGAACCAAAACTAATCTTAAAAAAAGTTAAAATAAAACGAATGGTAACTCAAACCCGAAACTATGATTAATCCAAAACATGGCTAGATCACCCGCTAACACCAACAGTGAAGTTTAACTGAAGATCAAAGGCGCAGAGAAAGAGAGACTAAAGACTAAGAGACACTACTTACATAGAAAGAGACTAGAATAGTATGGAAACTTTAGGAATGAATAAATCGTATCGCACTTGAAAACTTACCAAAATAGTTGTCGTTAGCTTTGATATTTATTTGTTGTAGGTGTCGGTGTTTTGTGTTTGGTTTTTGTACAAAAAGAGTTTTTTTTTTTGGGTAGTTGTTTGGGAACAAGGATTTTGGAATAAGTAAAATGGGTTTTGGTATAAAAAGAGAAATTTAAAATTTCATTAGAGGTCAATAAATATGATATTTTATTAGGCTTTGCAATGGTGACAACAGTATCTCGAGCACATCAATTCCAACACATATCACAAAACAAGTTTCGTTAGAGTATCCGCCTGTTTTCTATATATTCTTATATTTTTTTTTGTTCAGTCGATTATCGTATGATATTTGATGTATTTACAGGTTATATAGATGATTCCATATATGTAGGAATTATATGGTGTTGGTGGTTGAGTTTGTTGTGGTTGTTGTTCTTGGAGTTGGTCTTGTGTGTGGTACCTACCTGAGGATGCATACTCTCCGGGATGTACCCAGCTGCCTATTGCGGGAAGAGACACAAAGAGAGAGAGAGAGAAAGAGAGTGAGACAAGTGGACAAGTAACCATGGAGTCCCAGCAGATTTGAGTGTGCGTTCGTGTTTGTGCATAGCAAACATTCAAAGAGAGACAAAAGAGAAATAAAAAGATTGCATTGAAAAAACTTTGAGGCAAGCGCGTGCTCGAAATCTAATTGGCGTCCGAGCAGGGGTCTATCGCTTACCTGTAACAATCTCATTCTCTTCGCTCTCTTCGTTGTCCTGGAAGGACAATTCTTGGTATAGATTATTGTCCGAGCGCTGTTCCTTTTTGGTGGTCGAACGACCAACTGGGATTGGTTTGGGTTTATTTTATGTATTGGCGGGTTCGTTTTTGGTTTTGTTTGTTTTTTTTTAGTGAAGTTAACACAAACACAAAAGAAAGTAGAAAATTTGTTGGAAAATTAGTAGAGTTGCAGGTTAGCTAAAGGTTCAGCCAGATGGTAGACGCCTCCACCTACCATTTGCGGGCACATTTGGCACAACGGGACTCATATCGGGACTCTGCGGCGAGGTGGCCTGATGTTGTTGCTGCAGCGCATCTGTTGCGGCGCTTCGTTCCACGGTGCCAGCCAAATTGTCTAGTTCATTCTGCAGGGATGGCGGTCCCGAATCATCCGACTGGCTGCCTACGCTGCAAATCGTCTCCGTGTCCAGCATAACAGAATTCTCCAGCGAGGCAAAGCCATAGGAGACGGGGCCGGAGCTGCGTGCCACTGGGTTAAGTCGCGCCCGACTCACCTCCATGCGATCGGAGGCATTGCTCATTTGTGAGTGCGTCGAGCCCATCAGCATTTTGGTGCGTTCCATGTAGTCCACATGGTTCTTGAACAGTTCTGTGTAGCGTTCGTGCAGCCTGGCATATTCCTATGTGTGGGAGTGTGTGTGTGAGTTCAAGATGAAAGTTAGCAAAGGTCAACAACTGGTTTATGGCTGGCTGCTTTACCTTTTTGAGGTCCGCCTCGCGCTCCTCCAGGCGACTGGCGTGCTCCACGCTGTTCTTGTGCTTGAGCTCCAGCATGCGCACTATGCTCTCTAGGGACTCCAGACGGCTTGCCAACTCTTTGTTCTCCTGTTCAGCCAAGTCCTCCGCCTCCAGCAGCTGCATTGAGTGAAACGTTTTAATGTATTGCTGATTTCAATTACAACTTTCAAGCTTGCTTCACCTTTTGCTCGGACTGCTTGCGCGCGCTCTTCTCGCGCTCATACTGAGTAACCAGTTGTTCATTGTCCTCGCGCAGCAACTCTACCTCCACATCCTGCTCTTGATTGATGCGATAGGAGGCATCCAGGCACTCCAGCACGTTTACAAGCAGCGGCATTAGGTTCTTAACCACATCCTCGTCGTAGCGATTGATCATTCGCTCGAACTCCTGATAAATGCTGCCAGCCAGCTGCTGCACCTGTAGAGTGAAGGAGTCAGAGAGAAGTGCATCAATTTCAAATGCAAAGCCACAGAAACAACAACAACAAGACAAAGTTAGTGCGAGATAGAGATAGATAGAGAGAAGGCGAGAAAGGAGAGAAATTATAGTAAAACGGGCGCACTTTTAATGTCTCAATTAAAACCTTTTGTAATTGCGGTTTGCGGCTGCTTTGTTTTATGAATGAAAAACTCCCAAATGAAAGCCCAATGGAAAGGCAAGTTAAGCGTTGCCAGACCCCGCGATGACCCGACAGATGATTAAGTAAGAGCAGGCAATGGGAAAGCTGGAAAGGTCAAAGTTGAAAGCTTCCCATGTCATTCGGTTAGTTAAAAAACAAATAAAACTCAAAATAGTTGCAAAGCGTAACAGAAAAATATAAAAAAAACAAAATAAACAGTTTGAAATATCGTGCGTTTAGTTAACATATAAAGTGAGACAACAATTAAAAAGGCACCAAAAAATTTTGAACTCACGATGCTGACAACCTGTTCATTCTGAAAGAGAAAGAAAAAAGAAGAGAAAAGGGCACATATAAAAAACTCAAGTTAAATCAAATTAAAGTTAACACATAAGACAAATAAAAATAACTGAAACCCACAAAGTGCATACCCCTATGAGAAATGCGAGTGCATATTAAATGTGAGCATGAAATGATATTTAATATTTAATTTTATATTACATGTAAATAAATAAATAAAAATTAATTTCGGATTGCCGAATATCAAAATACCCTGGCAGATAAATGGCGAGGTTGGAGAAAAAACTCATAAGCCTGAGGGAAATATAGATTAAAAATTAAATAAAGTACATATATACTTTATGTCATATATGTCTGATGGCAAAATTGTTGTACCTTCTACAAAATCAATTAGAATTGTATTCAAACTCTGGTTAAGCCATTTAATCATGTTTGGTTTTAAACAATAAAATAATGTTTTATTCAAGGCTGGGCTCGATATGCTTATAAGGCCAGCTGGCTTATGCATAGAAGCTATTTCTGCTCTCCAGTTGCTTGAAGTTTAACCAGTTTTATAACCAATCAGCAGCAGCAACAGCCAATTTGGATAGCAAATGCGTCACAGCTGTGACGGAGTCGCTTGAATGAGTTAAATTGAGTTGGTTTGACGCAGTTAACAGGTAACTCAAGCGGCAAGTGAAGCATGTGTCTGTCTAAGGGGATTTGTAAGTGACAGCTCTATGATGAGCTCATGCCCAGCGCATTTGCATGGAGGGCAATCCGATTAAATCCCTTGCGAAGCTGATTAAGTGCAAAAATCAATGACGGCTCTTTGATTGCCAGACAAAATAGAACAAGTGGGCATGCTCTAGCAGAGTGTCCGACTAGGTGATACCCTAAACCCACCTAGCCTGAAAAACCGATAAGCAGTGACTTGGAGTTGAATAATATTTTCCCTAGTTATTGGACGGACGGACATATCTGCGGGTATGATAAGGCCAGCTGGGCTGTAGATTATGCTTCAGAATAAAAATATACTATTTTGGGTCACGCGGATCCATACAAAAACATTATACCCTTTTCCATTTTTGCAATGAGTACTGAGTATATAATCAAAGGGGGGTTGGGGAATGAAACGAAAGAGGCGAATGTACATAAAAATAAACTGCTAAGCGAATTGCGTGAGGCAACATTAAATTAGGCAAACGGGCGTTTTATTGATTTCTATTCTCTGCCACATCTACCTCTCTCTTTTCCGCTCACTCTTTAAACTCCTTTTTCGGCCAGCCTTTTGGCACTTGTGAATGTCAATGACTCGCGCTGGGGTCAGCTGATGCATAATAAACAAGCCAAAGAAAGAGAGAGAGAGAGAGAGAGAGAGAGAGCGGAAGCGAGAGATAATGGCAAAGTTAAATAGTTGGCAGACATATGTAACTGAGATAGTGGCACTTCCTGTGAGGCATGGCACATTATCTTGTGTCTGGGTACAATTATGAGCAGCGCACTTTACTTGTTAAAAGATATGAAAAGTCTTATCACATAAGCATTGCCCGCATGAATCAGTTGATAAGCCGCATGCATACCTTCTCGGACATGACCATATTGTTGTCCTCGGTGCCGTAGACCGTTTCAGCGCCCGACTGTGGTCCACAGTTATTGAGCATTGTGTCATCGTTGTCCATCATGATTGTTGTTGTCTTTGCTTTGGGTCTCTATGTTGTGCCTGTTCCTTAATTACGCATTCAAGTGTGGGTGGCTGTGTGTATGTGTGTGTGTGTGGGGTTGGGTACACACTGTCACACGTCACGCGTTATGCAGCTTTCAACCCCAAACAACAACAAAACACTGTCCAGCTACTGTGTGTGCTGCACCCACACATGCACACACACTTACATACACAACATATACGCGAATACAGGTGCAGTCGTTTGGCTATTTGTTCTCGTAGTGTTAATGAGTTTTCTTTTTGGTGTATATTATATAGCTCGATTATTTTTAATATAATTGCATTTTCTGGTTGTTCTGCGTGTCACTTATTTGCGTTTTTCGCTGTGGCTATGTTTGGCCATCATCCTCTTGCCCCCTCCATTTGCGACGTATATTTGACTACTTTTCATTTTTTCGCGAGCTTTTTTCGCACGTTACCACTGCTCATAGCATTTGTATTTTATAGCTAGGGCATAACCACATAGCTGGAGTATAATTTAAAGCACTTTTAACAATAAAACACGTTATTTTCAGCGCATTTTTACAATAAAAATTGAGGGAACAGCAGGCGAGCGACCGATTTTCGTGATTGGTGAGAAATGACTGCAGTGTTGGTAAACGTCTAAAAAGCGTCAAAGTAACCATGTATCGCAGCTATCGTAAACTATCGCACGCAAGTATATATCGATATATCGATTTCGCTCATGACACGCTGTCATTTGACGTTTGTGTTGTTGCTGGATTTCGCTGTCGCAGCTGTTTTGTTTCATTTTTGCATTTAACAAATAAAATCCAACATGGTTTTTGTTAAGAACTGGGAAGACTTCGAAATCGCTGCCGAAAACATGTACATGGCGAATCCTCAAAACTGCCGCTACACCATGAAATACGTGCACACTAAGGGACACATATTGCTCAAAATGACGGACAACGTGAAGGTATTAAATTTTGCTGAACAATAATTTAAATGCCCTGATGTACGTACGAATTTACTTGCAGTGTGTGCAGTATAAGGCGGAAAACATGCCCGATCTAAAGAAGATTGAGAAAATCACAAGCAATCTGGTTGGTCATATGGCATCAAAGGAATAGATGAACAACAAATTGGCCACGGCAGCAGTTTGGACCGAACGAAACAACAACAATGTAAACGGTTTGTTGTTGTTGCTAACTGGACTGATCGCCGTGTGTTTCACCTACACTTGTTTAGTTTTTAAGCGCACTGGCCCCAAAGGCGGCTAAGCATGTGGCAACAAGAGTAGTTACTGTTTAAATAACATTTTATAAATGTTAGCTCTGTGCACAGCGGCCAGCCGAAAAGGCGCCAGTGCAGTTTTAAAATTTATCGTACTTTTGTATTTATTGTAATGTAAATGGGTGCAGTTAGCTGCATTATAGTGACATATTGAAATTAGTCCACATTTCCATGAAATGCTTTAAACGAATTAAATGGTGTTTTATAAGAAAATCGTTTGCTTTCAATTATCGATTATCGGCTTGGGTAGCGCAATATATCGGCTAACACAATATGAACTATAGAGGGCGCTGCAAAGCGGTTAGCAAACGTAGCAATGCAACATTTTACACTTGTAAGCTAGGTAGTTTTGTAATTTTGTCGCTGCCACTTGGGAACAAAAATGTTAATTGCCTAGCCATTAAAGCGATTAAACAGCCAAAACAAACAATTTGCAATGCACAGGCGTGTATGAGTCAGTCAAAGGTGAGTGCGTGAGCGATGCGAAAGAACGTTGATGTGATGCTGCGGCTGCTGCTGTTGCTGCTGTACCTCAGTCGCTGACCGCAGTTACTCACTTAATAAGCGAAGAGCAAATATTTGATTATTTGCATATGAGCCACTCGAGTTTATTTGCCACAGGAGATTGACAGCAATGCGAGCTGCGCAAGTTTGATGCCTCAAATCATGAGATCAGAGGGAGAGCGAGAGTCAGAGTGAGAGAGGGAGAGCGATCAGTAGCGCTGTCGGAACAGCAAAGTGTTGTTGACCAAATGCCACAAGAAGTGTTTGCCCATGCAGAATGAGTGTGCGGCTGCAACTAGGCAACTCAGTAGCCACTTTGGATTAAGGCAACTAAAAACGTTTGTTTGACCCAAAGAACGAGAAACGTTTGGAACGGATCGTTCGGCAGCTTTTGATCAACGTCACAGGCCCTACACTTGCAGCTCAAGCAGCCTGGCACTTGGCTTTGATTAGAGCCCGTCGAAGCCGACGACGACGACGACGTACACCTGACTGTTTCCGGCCCCCAGGTCAACTCTAGTGCCTCGAGACAAGCTCGTTTGGCTTCTGTTTGTCGACGCGATCCGACTGCCAGCCAGTCCAGGGCCCATTTGGAGGCATCTTTATCGGATGTTTGTGTTTGCCGTTTTGTGCTTTTGACTATGTTGTTTACCGTGCATCCATTGCAATCACAATCACATACCCCTTGAACCCCGCTGCAAATGCAGAATCGTAAACCACAAATGCAGTCCGGGCTCATAAATTGAAGGCAACTAAAACGAAATCTACAAATCAAATAAATAAACAGCCAATCTGAAATATATATGATACGAGCGTGCAGCCGAGGGCTACTGGTATTCGACAAAGAAAATAAAAAACCATAAACGCAACATTCAACGATCGTTACAAGTCGATAAAGAAGCCAACAACACCGCCAACACCACCAGCTCCATTGGGTTTAATTAGGCACAGTGGCTGGCCATAGTGAGGCACATAAAGAGTTACCCACGCTGCGATAAACTTGACAAATAACATAAATGCTTTTTATTGCGGGTGGTGTTTGGCTGACTTGGGGGGAGGGGGGGGGGTGTAGGGGTGCCCTTCTCGTAAGCTTGCTCAAACAACAACCAACCCATGGACTGGGTGTACTTACTCCTGGTATTACGCCGCGATGCATTTTATGACACCCACTGGCGTCAATTATAAAGATATTTAAGTACAGTTAGCTAGCAATTAGACGGGGCTCTGCCGACTGCACATGGCAAAACAAATCCCTGAGATTTCGATTTCATATATATATATATATAAATTACGGCCATCGATAGTCGGTCATATGACAATTAGTTGTAAATTAAGACAATGTCGCGTTGCCTTGTGCAAGTGCATAAAAAAGAAACTAAGACAACTTAATTTAGCGCGCATTGCAAAAGGCTTAAACAAGTTAGTCGGGTGCAACCGACTGCCTAATACTCGCTCACAGTCTCAGTTTAAGGTATATCGAGTAGCCTAGTTCTGGGATCGACTTTTGCAAAAGCTGTACAGTGGCAAGGTCCAAGAATCTTAAGCCCAGTTATCCAAAAGAAGAAAACAGAAATTTAAAAATGGTTTAGTTAACATTAACAACTTTTTGAGTTAGATTCAGCTTCAATGCATAAATAATCTAGGTCCTAAAAATTGCCTCTATGTTAACTTATTAGATAGATGCAATTTTTTGTAGAGTTCAAATCCAACCTGTACTTTGTTTACGGATGCCAATATTTTCGGTACAAAAGACAATTGAGAGTTAAATAATTATAAGAAATACATACACGAAAAAAGAAATTTCGAACCAGTTTTAACAGTTAGCTGGTTCAAACCATTAAAAAAACACTTATAAATTAATGCTTTTGATGCATGAATCGAACCTAAAGTCTTGCAGTTCATCAAGCCTAGATTGAAAAGCCTTTTACAAAATTTGATGATACTTATATCGAAATTACTTTTCAAGATTTTCCGCGCCTCGATTGGCCGATATATTCTAAACACCTTATCGGACGCGAATATATACGCCTATAAAAATGTTCAAGGTATGAAGTCGCGTTCAGATACCCCTTTTACTTTGGAATCAAAATGGTTATCAAGTCGCGGCCAAGCCGGGCATTGCACAAATATACCCCTTGCACTTGGGTAATGAGTATCAAAATGGGCGCAACAAGCTGTTGGGTAGCCGAAAAAGCAGAGAAGCTTTGAGTCGGCCTCCTTTGCCATTGGGTTGGCCAAGTTTGCATTGATGAGTTTCCCTTCACTGTGTTCGTCCACTTGGGCTGTGCAAATAAGCCACGTTTAATTATGGCCATTAGCCACTGTTGAGCGGCTACCGTTTTGAGTCAATACACTGCAAACAGCTCTTGATGGATTTTCTGACTTTTTAAAATTTCGCTTTTCGCAACGGTGACGACCCAATGGTCGATAATGCTCATTAATGAGCAACTCATTGACGCAAGCCATTGACCGAATTGTGATATGCCCGATTGCTGTGACTCATTGCCGAAGGGGGGGTAACATATGTATTATACTACTTACTTTTAAAGTGTGGTTTGTCATCAGCATGATTTTTGATTAAATATGTGGTTAGTGTGGCGAAATGAAAAGATCTTAAGGAAAGTTTGAAATGCATTTCTAGAAGTGGCAACATATACATAAATAGTACTACAAGTGCAGCCTGTGAGAACTGAACTCTCAGTCAAGTTCTCTAGGTACAATTTGGTATATATACTTTAACAAAAGATATATTCTTCTAGTTTCCAAAATAAAGCCTCTTACTTTATATAAATACTAAGTGATAATTCACGCAAAGAACAAGTCCAACATAAGATATTTTTGGTTTCCAAAATTGTTCCTATGTACAGTGAAAACTCTCCTAACGGACACGTCTATCAGGTGGACACCCCAGCTAAGCAAACCTTTTCTCTAAAATCATTACAAATCAGGCCATACCTATTCCACCTTAATTAGATGCATAAAGGACCAAAATAAAATAAAGAAATATAAGAATATAAGAAAAAGATAAAATATTGAAAGTACTTAAAATTTCCAAAATTAATTGCTTTTTCATTGAAGACGAAAATGATTAGAATCATTCTGAAAGCAACAACGTATAGTTGCAATGAGCCAAAAGTCAAGACTCTATATTAATTGCTGGGATTTATATGAAAACCTGATGTATATAAAAATAAACATTTTGTTATAAAATTAATTAAATTAAGATAAATTTATATAGCATAGATTTTAATACTAGATGTATATAAAACACATTTTTTCATAAAAATAGATTAATTTAATCATATATATATATGAAACATATCAGAAAATACAAATTAAAAATTAAAAACCTTGAGCCAGATAAACTAAAATTGATTGAATCAAGATATATGTATATAAAAAATCGCTTAAATTTCTTTATTTAAATATCAAATACTGTACTTCCTATTCTAAAGAAACGTGCAAAAAAGTGACTCCTGCTATAGAGGTTTTTTTCTTTATAAGCATATCTTTTTTTTGTCTATAATCGAATCGTTTGGTCACAATTATAATTTAACACTGACCCATAGAACACATTGGTTTTTTAGTGCGCTCACTTCCTGGCTGAGTTTTCGCATTCAGAATCGTAAAAAAATAAACATGAATAACCGGAAGAGGCTAGAGCTCTGGACTTTGCTTGACGTCAAGCCGTGCCCTTAGTAATGTATGTAGAGCTATCAATATCAATCATCATTTTGTTATAGCTGGCTAATCAATGTCGGTGACACAATGTCTATAAGGAAACAAAATATCATTTCATTATAATTGAATCACTTTACAAGCGATA